GGAGGATTTGTGAGCAAAATCGGAGCTTCGATGGGCAAAAGCGGAGCAACGGTGGGGTCGGCCATCGGAAAGGGCGTGGTGCGAGGAGCAGCCGTCCTCGGAGTGGCCGTATCTCTTTGGGAGGTGGGTTCATTAATCGACGACTGGACTAGCAAACATCCGACTATCAAAGAGGCGGAACGCGTCATCGATGAGTTGAAGAAGACCAGAACCAATCTGGAGGAATCCGTCAGTGACATCAGCGTGATCAAGAACACTTTGGAACGACTGCAACAAAATGCTCGTGAGGATGAACAGGCCTCATCAGAGAAGCAAGCCGGAAAATCCAAACAATATGAAGGCAATCAGCATAAAGATGAGCAAGACAAAGGCAAAACTGATGGTGGCAGTAAGTTCAGTTGTCACATAATTTGTGGAATTGTGATTTCAAATTGATTTCAATTCATTCATAATTACAATAGCTAAACAATCCAAACGGAATAAAGCCGATCAACGCAAGGCTGAGAAAGACGGAGATCGAACTGCTGATGGAGGTAATTCAAGTTGTCATATACTGTAGTTTGTGGGACAGTGTTTTCTAATACATTTCGATTCATTTTCGGTCATGCCACAGATGGAGGAGGCAGGAAACCGACGGGTCCCTCACAAGCCAGTGAATGCCAAGGAGCTTCGGTCAATCCAAATGCGACAAAAATCGAATTTAAGGAGGATATTCTGGAAAATTGCAACTGCAAGGATAAGAGATGGGGGAAGGCGCATTGCAAGAAGGAGAATTGCAAGGAGAGGAATTGCAAGGTCAAAAAAGTCATCGTCAAGGCATGGGTCCGTCCCGAAAACATGCGCCAAGGCACGGCTACCAACAAAAAAATTCAGGAGGGGATTAAAGAACTGAAGCAGGACGGTTTGGTTGCTGGTCACGTCATCGCCAAGTTGCTAGGAGGGTCCGGGACCGACTGTAACAACATTGTCCCAATGGAGTCTACTTTCAACAACGGCGAATACAAAAAGTTTGAACTGGAAATTCGCAATTTGATCGAGGGATCCTTTGGAATGGAAGCTCGGATTGTGGTGGAGATTTATTTCTGCTCTTGCTCCCCCGTTCCTTTCAAAATCAGCTATTCAGTCACTTTTTACTTGAATGGTGTCGAGCAACCGCATCGGGCTACATTTTT